TAAATTTTGTATAAACAGGAACTGCGTATTTGATTTTGGATTTAAAATCTTATCATTCAATTCCATTAACAATACACATATGTGTTTTTTGATACTCATTTCATTGAAATCGATCAAAATTTGACACATTTTGAAAGGAAAAGTTCAGGTTAAATTTTCTAAAATTCAGCACATTTTATTTGAAATTCCAAATTGGTCTTACGCAAAGCAGGGTAAGGGGTAGATTTCTTTAAAAGCAGCCGTATTCGGTGTTGGATTTAAAATCTTATTACACAGTTCCTTAATTAATACATAGACGTGCATTTTGATACTAATTTCATTGAAATCGACCAAAATTTGCCCAAAAGTTCAACGTTAAATTTTCTAATTTTCATGAATTGGTCCGCCAAATACGGATAGGTGTAAACATTTTAAATATACGCAATGCACATCGTTTTAAATATAAATTTACTTACAACATTCTTAAGAGATTGTTCATGTGCACATCGTTTAAAGACTATTATTAAATAAATTGAATAAGATTTCACTGATTTAGAAGCTAAAATTGAATGTTGCATACCTGAAAATGTTATTATACCGGCAGATTACAGATGAGGCGATAAGATTATTTTATTTTTGCTATTTATAGTCTTGTTTTAAAATAAAATTCCATATTCAAATGTGACAACAGTGTTAAAACGGAATTCTTTGATCATGTATGTAAAACTCGAGTGGTATTTACGTTATTTAGAGGCGAAATTCGAAGCACTTTTTTCTGAATTCCAAATTGATATTACTCAAAGCAGGGTAAGGGGTTATATTTCTCTGAATAGCAACCGTATTTAGTGTTGATTTAAAATCCTTTTACACAGTTTCTTAATCAATACATGGCATTTTGATACTACATTTATTGAAATTGACCAAAATTTGACCAATTTGGAAGCATAAGTTCGACATTACTTTTGTTCTAAATTTAATGAATTGGTCCACCAAATACATACAGGGGTTAACTTTTTAAATATACGCAATGCACATCATTTTCAATATAAATTTTCTAACAACATTCTCAAGAGATTGTTCATGTGTACATTAAAATTTTAAAGACTAATATAAACTAATTAGAATAAGATTTTACTGATTCAGAAGCTAAAATTGAACATTGCATACCAGAAAATGATATTATACCAGCAAATTACAGGTGAGGCGAAAAGATTATCTCAATTTTGCCATTTAAAGTCTTGTTTTAAAATGAAATTTCATATTTAAATGTAACAACAGTGTCATAACGCACAATCTATTATCATCTATGTAAAAATCGAGAGAAGTTAACGCTATTAAGCGGCAAAAATTTAGCGCATTTCATCTGAAATTACAAATTGATATTATGCAGGGTAGGGGTTAGATTTCTTTAAAAAGCAGCCGTATTTGATGTTGGATTTAAATTCTTATTAAACAGTTCCTTAATCAATACATACACGTGCATTTTGATACTAATTTCATTAAAATCGACCAAAATTTGACCAAATTGAAAGCAAAAGTTCGGCGTTAATTTTTTTCTAAACTTTATAAAATGGTCCGCACAAATACATACAGGGGTGAACTTTTTAAATATACGCAATGCAAATCGTTTTGAATATAAATTGTCTTACAACATTTTTAAGAGATTGTTCATGTGCAAATTTAAAGACTATTATTAAATAAACAGAATAAGATTTCACTGATTTAGAAGCTAAAATTAAATGTTGCATACCTGAAAATGTTATTATACCAGCAAAGTACAGGTGAGGCGGTAAGATAAATATTTTATTTTTGCTATCTATAGTCTTGTTTTAAAATAAAATTCCATATTTTAATGTGACAACAGTCTTTAAACGGACATTCTACGATCATGTATGTAAAATTGGAGTGGTATTGCAAAATTCGAAGCACTTTTTTCCTGAATTCCAAATTGATATTACGCAAAGCAGGGTAGGGGTTATATTTCTTTGAATAGCAGCCGTAATTAGTGTATATTCAAAATCCTATTATACAGTTCCTTAATCAAGACAAAGACGGGCATTTTGATACTACTTACATTGAAATTGACCAAAATTTGACCAATTTGGAAGCAAAAGTGCGACGTTAATTGTTTTCTAAACCTTATTAATTGGTCCGCACAAATACATACAGGGGTGAACTTTTTTTTAAATATACGCAATGCACATCGTTTGGAATATAAAGTTTCTTACAACATTCTCAAGGGATTGTCATGTGTACATTTAATGACTAATTTTGAAAAATTAGTATAAGATTTTACTGACACTGAAGCTAAAATTGAACTGTGCATACCTGAAAATGTTATTATGGTGAGGCGAAAAGAAATCATCTGAAATTAGAATTGATATTACGCAGTGTAGGGGTTTGATTTCTTGAAAAAGAAGCCGTATTTGGTGTTGGATTTAAAATCTTATTATACAGTTCCCAAATCAATACATACACGTGCATTTTGATACTAATTCAGAATCAGTTTTGTAAAGATATGAGTTAGCAGGCTAATCAAGAGTAAGCTTAATATCATGCAGGCTAACGTGAGTTATGTCTATAGTAAGGTGGATAATCAAGAGTAAGCTAAATATCATTCAGGGTAATCGTAGTAATAGTTTTATTAATTGTTGGGTAATCAAGATTAAGCTTCCTTTGCTTTAGAGTAAGCTGGGTAAGCTTAACGTTACCTGGACAATCTGGAGTAAGGTAAACTTGATTGAGAATCAGTTTATTAAAGACATAAGTAAGCTGAGTAATCAAGGCTTAACTGATCATGATTCAGGTTAACTTTAGTAATGTCTTTAGTAAGCTGGGTTATCAAGAGTAAGCTAAATTTCATTTAGGGTAACCTAAGTGATGGTGTTAGTAAGGTGGGAAATCAAGAGCAAGCTTTATATCATTCACAGTAATAGTAGTAATGTTTTATAGTTAGGTGTGTCATGAAGAGTAAGCTTCCTCTGCTTTAGAGTTAGTTGGGTAAGCTTCACGTTTATATGATTAAGAATCAGTTAAATAAGAGATATGTAAAGTGGGTAATCAAGAGTAAGCCAAATATCATTCTGGGTAACAAGAGTAATGGTTTTAGGAAGGCTGGTAATCAAGAGTAAGCTTTACATGATTCAGAGTAATCGATATATATATATATCGGTCAATGTACGTAACATAATGTATGAAGCATAAATAATTAAGCATAGCGGCAAATCACACGACCACGGGGTTGATTAAAAATATAGTTGCTAAAATATCCATAATGTGTGGAAATAATTTGTCTGTCCCTTTAATCTGATAGATATTACATTGAGTTTATGGACTTTTGTACAGATTCAACGGCTTGCTTTACATTCAACCTCGTTTTCTAACAATGTCAAGTAAAACAACAACAAAAACAGACAACATTTTTTATGTGAACGCCTATATGACTTGTGGTAATGTGTCCCTGACAAATTTCTAAACCATTTTAGATTGTTTAAGGATGATTATTTCTCTATGAATCAATAAAAAAGATATAGAGGATATTCAAGTTTTTTCTATAAATACATGATTTATTTTCATCGAGTGGTATGAAAATAAATATTTCATGAGTGGCGGTAGCCACGAGTGAAATATGGTAATTTTCATGCCACAAGATGAAAATAAATCATGTATTTATAGAAAAAACTTGAATTTTCTGTTTATTATATACATTTTTCTCTTTTTTGACATTAAAATTTGAAAGACTTTCCCTTAAATTTTGTGTACTGGCAGAATTTAAAAGAAAGTAGTCCGGCAAGACACCAGTGAAAATACGGAAAATATGTTTCACTGCAGTGAAAATACGGAAAATGAAAATATGCATTTTATTTCATCAATATTTCTCAATATTTCATTTATAAGTATATAATAAATTAATATATATTATCAGTGAATGCTTTGAATAAATTGTTTGCCAGTAAATCGAACACAGTTCTAATAAACCTGGGACAAAGTATGGAATTTATTGTATATCCCAGTAGAAACTGGATATCTATACCTTGCATAGATGATTTTCATGATAATAGAAGTCAAGAAGGTCAGATCATAATGATCGAGTGATACCTTTTATTTCTATTAAAATATGTGAAACATTTATATCAATTTGGAGGAAAAAATATATAATATCCTGTTCTTATTTATACATCTACCATGGCCTTTAAAATACCGTCAGAAGCTCATTTTTTTGTTATTCTAATTTATATTTTAACAGAATTTCATACACGAATACACAGACAGAGTGGCACTGGTAAAATATAATAATAATGCTGATGATAATTATAATAAACTTCAAAAGTGAAACAATTAAATACCCCGCTAGCGGCGCGCAAATACGTTCATTTCCCCCCACCGAGTGTCTCAAATTTTACCGAAAGTCACGTGACATGTGCGACCGATACCAGACGGACAGTAAATCGCGTTAAGATTTGAAGAAAATTCTGTTATAAACTGATATTAATCAGCAAATTTTTAATTGGTCAGATGTCACTGGGTCATAAAATGTTGTTAGAGTATGTTACCGCAATCTGTGACCCTCTCTGGTGCGATATTTGTGTATTATGCAATTATTTAGCGTGAAACGTAGGGGTCCGAGATAGAACAGCCGATTTATGACATTTCGTTTGATGCGGGTCGAACTAACTTTGAATCGGCATAACTTTTTTAATAATCAAGCAATTAATATGCGGTTTAAAGCACATGAAAGGGAATTCATTTACGGAGGGAACCGTGTCAGGGATTTTGGTTTGCTCAACCAGCGACTTAATTATCTTTAATTACGTAATATGTATGGTGAAAAAAGTAGCATCAATTGTTTGACGTTACGTAATATTTTTTGGGAAAGATAGAAAAAATTTGAGACACAATTCCCCAGATATTATAAGTATGCTTATTTTGCAAAAAATTGATATAAAAAAATAAAAAAAAAGACTTTGATATGACGATTTAAAATTTTAGGATTTTTATTAAAAATCAATCATTAACAAAGACATTTTTTCAAATATGTTATTTTATATGATGATCAGCGACATTTAATGCACAAAGATTAAATAAAAAACAATTATTACTAAAATAAGTTGGTTTAAATGACATTTATGTGAGTACCAAGGAAAGTGTCTGTTGTCACCTTAAATGTCTTTTAAAAGTGTTTGATTTTTAAACTGCGTTGATCAAAAGGATTCACAAACCCTTAAAATAATTAAAGTCCGATTTTTTCTGCAAACAGTTAGTTGTATCAAATAGATGTGCCGGTTTGTTTTCATATCCAAATAAAAGACAATCGCCTAATACGACATTGCTTAATCGCTCCATATATTCATCAGATATAGTTGAATAAGCCTGAATCATCGCTTCTGCTCTCTGTAATTTTAATCTGTCTTTATGAATCAATGATATCTTCATTGCTTTAGTCAACTCTCTTATAAAGTCTTCTTTTCGAATTTCAATCAGATCGCTTTCATAATATGGAAAGTTGATTGCATTTAATACATGTCCTGTTATTTGGTAATAGCACCAAGCACGAAGGTACACATTATAAAGAGATATAGTTGAACCTTTCAACAAAGGAATCGTTCTGAATAAATGCTTAATAGGCCCTAAAGTTGTCCAATCTTTTAAGGATATCACAGTATTCTTTTGATACATTCCTACGTATTGTTCCTCGTGTTGCTTACTAAAAATAAAGTCAAAGTCGTTTTGTAAGGTCTCAAGATGTGCAATAAAATCAAACTTAAAAACACAAGGATTACATGATTTATGGTGCATTGGTCGGACATGTTCATCCATACGATTACCAATTTCAAATGTGTCTACTGTATATTTTACTAATTCAGAAAAAGTTAAATCATGCCCATAAACGAGGCTGTCATTTGAAATATTTAACCGTGTAAGTTTAATGAGTTTGGTTCCTCTGTAAAGCCAATCTTCTTTTGGGAAATAGAAAATGTTGCAGTAAGTGGAAAACAAACGTCCGTAAGGTTCACGAACAACCATAAACGAAAATGCATCATCCATCACCTGTCGTGCGTTTGCTTTTAGACGAACACGTTCAGCATGTTTAATTAAGCATTCTGTATCACAGCTATACAACTGCTTAAGTAATTCTAGTGTCATTGTGGATGCACATTTATTTACTCTACAGTACAAAAGTTTTAGGTTTGGTGACATATGTGCCCTTATATCCGTTGAATTAACATCCTCCGAAAAGCCCAATGTTCTACATGCTTTATTAAGTGTATCTAACCTGTTCGTATCATTCATCAATATGCCATTCGAAAGGACACATTTTTCCTGAAAGAAACTGTTAAATATATGTGTTGCCTTAAATTTGCACTCACTTGATTTTACATTTTTTGTTTCTAAGCTTGTAAATTTGATTACAGCTAAGTAAATTTATTTTATTTAAGAAATTTAACATATTGAATTGATTACATTCTAAATGATACTTTACGATAGACAAAAATGTTCTTTATTTCAATACCTCTTGAAGTTTCCTAGAACTTTCGTTCGTTTGATTTGAGTCATGAACTTCCGTCACGTAACATATTCCTAGGAATATAAATCTTTATCAAAAAATTTAAAACATTCATTTGCAATCACCACGGAGGGACCTTTTTGAAGTGATAAGTGATAAGTTATGAATAAAACTACACATGTATCGAGATAAATATAATAAAACGTTTTGGCTATTCATAAATTTTTACACAGTTAAAATAAAATGATTTAATTTTGTGATGGAATCATATGTTTGCGATATCAATTAAAACAGAAGAAATTACATTTAAACATGTTTAAAAGCAACCTTATGGAATTTAAATGGCAAACACATTTTGATACATAGTCGTTAATGTGATCTTATTATGTTGACTTTTATTTGTTGACAATATGTTCGTCGAAGTGTCCATTTGCATTCGTTCATATAATAAAGTAAAACAAATTATGCATACGTATTTTATAGCTTGCATTGAGAGAAAATGCATCGTGACAGACAAAGCCTATTTTGCAATTCATTTCACATTTTGTTCTTTCACATGTGTATAATCCTTTACATAAACTATGATTGAAAGCAACTGCACATTAAGTCTTCATGTAACAATAAAGCTTTATGCTTGAAAATATATACGTCTTCATATATCAACCTTTATACCACTATGCCAGAAAACAAATGAGCCGCGTTACGACAAAACCAAAATAATTGGTTTGCGACCAGCATGGATCGAGACCAGCCTGCGCATCCACGCAGTCTGATCATGATCCATGCTGTTCGCTATCAGTTTCTCTACTTGTAATAGGGTTTGTAAGCGGACAGCATGGATCCTGATCAGACTGCGCGGATGCGCAGGCTAGTCTGGATCCATGCTTGTCGCAAACCCATTATGTTGATTTTGTCATGACACGGCTCAATTAAAGTCTTCATATAACAGTTAAACTTTATACTCATAGTCAACACATAAACATTTCATATTACTTTTATTTTAGTTAGTTTCCTGGACGTAAAGACAATTTAGAAATCGCCAAAATAATTCGGTCTGATTTCAAAAAGAGACAACATATTAAACAAAAATTATTAAAAACCAAAAAAATTGTACAAAGTCGAAAGTACAAAAGTGAAAACAAATGACAATATCAAAAATTTGTAAAATTCTGTTCTTCATAACATATTTTTTGTTTTGTTTTGTAGCTTATTCTTATGATATAGATGTATAGAAAATAATTTTTTCAACAATTAATTGCGTTTTTGTATTACAAATGTGTTTCAGTTACTTACCAGAAAGAAGCTGTAAACCAAAGATAATCATGAAAAGCAAAAATATTTTTTTCCTTCGCATTTTCAACTTTCATGCTCTATGTCCTGATATTAATCACGTTTAGTTTCAACTATGCTTCATATGTTTCCTGCATGTGACATCTTCCTATCTTAGTTTATGTTTCTCGAAGTATTTAACTTGTATATATAAAGAATAAATTACTATATAAACGAAATTCACCCTTTACGGATCGGTCTGAAGTAAACAGTGACTAAAGGAACACATATTATGAAATAGATAATTATCAGCATTTTCTAAGGCAAAACGATTAGTTTTGCCAGTGCAATATTGAAGTTGTTACAAAAGTTATCTATCAGAAAAGTAACGTTAGGAAAATACCGTCATTCAATTATATCATTTACACGATTAAGTTCAAAATACGGCTTGTCAGACGCATAATTTATATATTGAACTCGATATTTAATATACAGGTTTCAGCTCTCACACATATACATGTAATATTAGCATGTGAGAAAAAAAACTGAAGGGACAGTAAAATAGTACGAGGGCTGTTCAATATATAATTAGACTGTCCTCATATATTTTCATTCTTACATAAAATATAACAAACTTTGGTATCATTATTAAATATTAATTATTCTTGATCAGACTACCGGCATTGATATAACGCTACATAGAAATTATGATAATTTCAATAACCATAGTATCAAGTAATCGCCCCCGTCCGTTCTCTTTTATAAAGATATAACTTATTATATAAAGTAAAGTAAGAAACAATTTTTGCAATAACGTAAAACACCGCAAATAGATTCATTTGATGATATCAACATTTGCTCCCGGTTATCTTGACATGTTGTAACGTTAAGATTATAGAGCAAGAACATCTTGAAGTACAGGCGAACATTAAGTTTTGCTTGCATTTAGGCAAATCGGCGACGTAAACATTTACAATGTTGCAAGAGGCTAAGAGGAAAGACTGTGTTTGTCGTACGGTAATGTTTAGATGGCACACAAAGTTTCCTGAGGGACAAACATGTGAAAAGTAAGTAAATATTTAAGTGTTGAATAACCCTAATAGAAGTTTAGTAATTTAAGTATAACATATTGGAGTGTTGAATCAAAATAAAAAACATAATGAAAAATAATAATTCGTTAATTCAGATTTAGAACATTTATAATTCCTACTTCAATTTTTATCAATAAATAAGAAATGCACTGAGGTTATAAAATAATGAAAACAGCATCATTTTTCCGACTTAATACAATATATTTATGTTTTTTTTTCTTTATGACCTCGCTCCGTTTGACTTCGCCATATTCCCGGATATATAAAACTTCAATTTAAGGGCGCGCGATTTGACACACTAAAATACCTACAAACTGCAGTAAATGGTATTATTAAATCAATATCAAATGAGTGATTTGAAGACATTATCATCAATCAGAGGGTTGCAAGCCACCAAAGCTGTTTTCTGCATTCGGGAGAGATAAGACATCATAGCTACGTTAACTGCGCGAACGACGTCGCTGACGTCGCGACAAATGGTTGTGTGGTGGCAATGTGCAAACATTACTTTCTTATAAATTTTGTAACTTTAAAACTGTTTTATGGATTACTTTGATATTTTCAGATTGTATTCAGAAATGAATGAACTTTGTTATAATTTATTGTATATAACCGTTGAATGTATCAAATAAAAGGTATGAACATTGTCTCTAATATATACTGAACAACCCCCGTAAAAAGATAATTAATTTTAAGGATAACTCTAAATTAAATCAATCTAAGGGATAGTTTTGCCACAATAAAACAAAATGTAAAGGATAGTTATAAAATAAAATTTACAAGAAAGGGGTCAGTTCTTCAACTTTTTGGTTAATTTGTAAATGATCAGTCAAACGTAAAACAAGTTAAAGAGACATCTAAAAAGTTTGAAAAACCTTAATATAAATATGTTATTATTTAATTTCAAAGTTTACAAAATGGGCATTTTCTTAGCAACACGAAATAATTATTATGTTATTGTTATGCAAGCACAAATGTACTGCTTACATTTCTTTTTTTATTAAAAACTTAGAAATAACATAATTTTGCATGTTAACCAATTTACTTCGGCCGATTATTTTTGAAAGTTTGTAACCACATTAAAAGTTTGTTTGTTTTCAAAAGAAAAAAACAAACATGCTTACTTTAGCATTTACGTTGATAATCGAATCAGACAATAAAAAATATATATGTTTGTGATATTTTAAGTCAGGAAATGTAGATGAATTAAAACATGAAATAAAGTTAAAAAGCGCACTTATAAAAAAGAAAGAAATGTTAATAAACTGCTTTGGTAGTATTTCTCTCTGCGGGTTATATTTTTTTAGATATTAAAAAAATCTATTAGGTTTATCAGGCAATTTTCAAAGTCTTCTAATATATCATTATGTGACGCAACAAACTTTCAACTGAAACATGTTAAACAATTTTCTTTTAAAGAGACTAACGTCTGAATTTTGTTTCTTTAATTTATTAGTATACATGTAATATTTTGAGAATAGGAAAAGATATAATGTTTTCTTACCATTAGAGTGAAAAAAGATGTTTAACTATCATACGTTACATTTATTCTTATGGTTAGGGTTAGGGTTTTTTGTAAATATATTGCCATTGAAATTCTTTTTGTGGAAAGGCTTTTCACAGTCTCATTTGCTTTTGAATCTGTGATAATTTTAACCGACATTGGAGGAGCTTGCTTTTTCTATGATATATAAAGTTCGTATTTCTGCAGGCGTTAAAGTTTGGTAAGTTTGTTGAAGTGTAAGTTTTTTTTCTTTGGATATTGATGACGTTAATTTGTAAAAGTTAATATAT